AGGGGGTGGGAGCATATACCCAAAATTTCAGCCTCCGAGCTTTCCTGGTTGCTGAGATGAAAGTGGGTGACAAAATTCAATCGCTTCTGAACACACATACACACATATACAGACAACCTGTCGACAATATGCGTTTTCGCTGGCTGTAGCAGCGCTATAGCGCTGCACAGCAAAAGCGCATAAAAATTACTGTGGTATAGCAATAGTTCCTGCTTCACAGTGAAATCGTGGTGGAGCCGTTTTCCAGACCATTGCTAGCATGACCATTTCGGCTGCATCCAGCACACCAAAGCCAAAGAGATGATTGAATTCCAGACCGACGCCATTCATTTTCCATTCAAAATGTGTGCAGTTTTTTACGCCGTTTTTATAAGTGCTTCCCTGCAACACAGGTACTAATAATAGTAACATAAAGCTGTCAAACTGCATTTTGTGTGTCGTTAACTGCTTGAGCATCTGATGTTAAGTAAGCATACTGGTGTTTTAAGAATGCAAGAAAATGTGTATACCAAGATCACTCGGTCAATCAGTGTTAGCGATTCTATTGGGATGTTAGCGATGCTAATGAGATGCTTTCAAACCGGCCGCAGCTATTCCTCGCTTTTGGATCCTGAGCTAGTAGTCACTGTCTGTTCGATACGTTTGCGTCGTTCCTTTGGAGATTGCTTCAGTGTTCGTTTACTTCCTCGAAAGTACCGTTCACTAATATACTACGTCCACCGGTTGTCAATATGGCAAACAACATGCTCTGTTCAGAAGAAATTAGCTTCTCGAGCAGCCGGTGATACCCTGCACGCCATTTACTCGACTGAGACTTTGGTTGATTATGTGGTCATTTTGCCTTTTCATGCATATTTCGCTTCACTAATCATTCTGTCAGAGCTAGAGTCCACTTTTCTGCTTTCGTCATTGATCAACGTAGTTCATTATTAATTACAAAGTATATGTGTTGTAATATATGTACATGTATATATATGCATATTGTGTATGTAACATACAACAAGTTATTACCTAAATTAATGAAAGGAACTGGAAAGAATTTTTTTAGCTTACACCAAAGCCAACATCTGGTAAATCCCGGCAACGGCCATCGAATAACGAATTTCGCGTTGATGTTAAAACTGTTAGGTGCTGCAAATCGCGCCTGAAATTTTTAAATTAAATGTAAAAAATTTTTTGTCTTTTTAGCTTCATCACCATATTTTTGTTTTAAAGTTTTCCAGAAATATAGCGATGAAGATACTGCTGATAATATTTATAAATTACATTAAAAAAAATAATCAAATGAACAGAAATATTCTG